TCAGCAGACCCCATGTATGCCAACACACTGACTCAATAACCACTAGCAACCTCTCAACAACTCAACACAACTCACACAACTATTGCCACGTGAAGAAACTTAACTTACAATTTACTAAAAAGTGACATTATCACTACAAAACAGTAACTGTACATTCACTCAACTTTAGCCTATCAGTTAAAGGCGAACTACTCTTCATAACTTAAATCAACACTAGCAGTTGTCACACACATACACACTATCATTTGAATATACACAATTGACAATTTTCCTTGCAGATATCAAACTATTTTAATTACACAAACAAACTTAAACTATCAACCTTTACTCAGTAACTTTCTGCATGGACAATCTTTGTAACCTTATCTCACTTGCCACATTTAACAAGCAACTTATTATCAGTTTGTGTATGTCAAATATATATATATATAAATTCACGTTATTGTTGAAATCTCTAATGACATTGTTTTCAGTAATTTCTTGAAGTTGAATTGTCTATTTATTTTTGTTTGATTTATTTGTTGCGGACAAATGCATTACGATCACGCACATTCTTGGCCTTCACAAAAAATCACCTTCTGATACATCTTACTCAGCATAGATTTTGCATCAAAAGCATCTAATAGATGTATTTTATGAAATGGTTGACATATAAATGTGAAAGATAGATTCTGGTGAGAAAAATTGTCTAGCACAACACAGTGAACCAACTTTCTTAGCAGCAGACCTAGTAAATTGATTCAATATAACTATTCCACTTTGTTTCAATGGCAAATGTTAGCCCAAGTAGTTGCAACTGATTCAAAATAATTATTCAATTTCATGACAGTGAAAGACCTTAGCCCAACAATGCATAATGAGTCATTCTCCTGGATGTTAGCATAAGTCATGATGATAAAGGGTTAAAAAACTTCTAAGATTATTAAAAAAAGAGCAGTTTTGTTTTAGAGGCATTAAAATTATAACAATACATTTATTGATTGTATGACATTTTTTAAAACAGCTTCCAATTTTAACCTTATAAACCTGATTACATTTACCATTAATTTACTATTAAGACAGGAGTAAAGTGTTGTGACATCAGCGTAGATACTGAGTTGAGAACTGATGTATGTCAGTGATGAAAATTAAGAACAAGGATAGGGCCCTAGGAATACATGTATTAATGCAAAAGGATCTAGAAGAGTAGCCATTCAAGACAACTTTCATTTTACAATTTTTTAAGAAATATTGAATCAACTTAAAGAAATTTAATCCAGAAATACCATAACCTTTCAACTTGTGAAAAAGACCAGCATGCCAAACCCTGTTAAATGCCTTTGAGATACACAAAGCAACAACTCAAGCCTCACCATTCTTATCTAAAGCTTGACATACACTTTCAGCAATAACTGCTAACACATCAAGTTAACCTAGAGAAGCAAAAACTATATTGTTTGTCTGAAAGAAGATCCAATGAGGTGAGATGCTTAAGCAATTCAGAGTTGATTAGAGACTTTGCCAAAAAAAGTAGAATGTTAATAGACTGATTGATAAAAGGATCAGATGGTTTGCCTGAGTTCTTAAAGACAGGAATTACAGAAGAGGATTTCCAACAAGCAGGAAAACAAGAAGCAGCAAGGCATTTATTTTAGAATTTAGAGAGAACAGGAGACAGTTCTGGAGCATATTTCTTAAGGACTATTGCAGGAATACTATCAGGTCCACATGCTTTGTGGAGATCCAGTTTAGGGATGATAGCAGAAACCATAGATGGAGTTATATGCATATTGATCAATAGAGACTCAGTTCTAAGTGTAAAGTCAGGCAAAAATATTCCAGATGAATCAAGGGTAGAATTGAAAGAGAATTTACAAGCAAAGCATTCTACTTTATCAGCAGATGTTAACACCTCAAACTGAGTGAAGAGATGAGGAATAGAAGACTTACTCTTATTTAACATACTATATTATGAACAGAATTCTATACTTTTAAATTCTAACAAAGGTCACAAGTAACTAATCAACAAAAATTAGTCAAAAAATTTTTTTTCTATTTTTTAGGAGCAAAACAGTTAACATCAGCATGGCCCAAAAATGTTCCATTTTTTTAAACAGCACCTGATAGGCAATGAAAAGTGGACACACTACAACAGTGTGAAATACAAGAAATTATAATGCAAGTAAAAGGAATTCAGTTTTCATCTGAATGTAATTGTTTTGTCTCTTTCTCTCTCTCATGTGTGTGCGTGTGTGTGTGAGAGAGAGAGAGAGAGAGAGAGAAATAAGCATTTCCCCAAAACGTCCAGGTTGTATTTAATCACAACACAGTCAAGTTGAGCTAGAGTTGCACTAGCAACCTAGGCAACATTATTAAAATGTTAAACAAAAGAAATTCAAATCTTGAAGAACATATCAGGAGTGGAACTAAGGTCCTTTGTAATTGCAGAAGAAAAAATAATTGTCCCTTGGCCATTAAATGAAATATTTTAAGAAAAGTGAAAGCTGGTAAAGTAAATAGCATCGCCTGTAGGCTGTACCAGGAGGAGAAGTTAACCATTGCATCATATAAGGGTGATGCTGAGTTGTTGAATGAGACACCCGAAATTATGGCAAAATGTAGGCAGATGAGGAAGTTGACTTTGGAACTATACAAACCCGGGTGATGTTGAAAAAACAATTATAATTTTTTCCACCCTTCCTCCCTCTTATTATTTCTGGTACTGAATTAAGAAATTTAAATCCTTGTGGTGTTGTATATAATGATTTCGCTGAGTTAACCACCTGATAAGACCTTGGCAGTTGAAACTGCAGTAGTGTTCCATTCAGTGTTTTATTATTTTAGAATATTAAATCACTCTGCAGGTTTGATTTTTTCTAGTTTGATATTGAGCACTATTTTAATACATACGATTATAAACAACTATTTTAATGTTTATTTAATGGTTATGAACAATTCTGCTCATAAGCAAGCCGTATGTGAAACGTTACTTTAACACCCCACTCATCCTTCACCAAACTGCTATCAACAAGCACTATTGTTTCACTCCGTCACCTTTTTGCTTTATGTATATTTTTTCTCAAACAAATGGAAAAAAGGAAGTAACGTTTTACATACAGCTTGCTTATGAGCAGAACTGTTCATAACCATTTTAGTTCTCACCAGTCAAGGCGCAATTGAAATGCACTGAAACAAAGTTGCATCTTTGTAGTGAGTAAACTGTTTTAAATTATTGCTCTACTATCGGTATTGAGACCTCTTTTGAATTAATGCTGTGAACGTTAGAATTTACACGCTGATATGATCTCAACTGTCATGGACTACTTCAATTCTGTAGTATTACAAAACATCTTTGCTACTAGGAGTGATTTCTCATCTGTCCATAAGGATGTCCTGCCCACCAATCAACAAAGTTCTCTTATTTATCATTTTAAGTGTCGGTATAAGGCTGACTATGAGGGTAAGACTATCCAATGGCTAGATGTGTGGATTGAACAGGACATCCTGGTTCATTTATAGACATGCTCTATTAGCATCTGGGAACTCATCTCAGAAACATAGATATTATCACAGTAGTCTGCTTTATTTCCAACTGCCCACACTCCTATATCACAGGACTCACATAGTCTACGTAAATGGTGTCCCACAAAATAAGTTCTCATGAAGCACTAACCTCACCTATTCTATTACTATGGCAAATATTCAAACAAGCTACACTCCTTAATTCCTGTCATTTAGACTTTTACAGCTCGGGCCTGCCATGCTATGTACACAATGTCCTCATTTTCATTGTGTTCCTTTGGTAAGGAGGACGTGCCACTCATACAGTTTCTTCTCCAGAATTGTCACTTTATGGAACAGACTCCCAAAAGTATGCTTCCTCAACTGCTACAATCTTAACCTCTTCAAGTCTAGGGTCAACTGGTATCTATCCTACATATCCTCATAATATATACCTCTTCCCTTTCTCTTTACAACAATTTTATTCAGTAACTTTCTATCTTGAGTGGCTTTTGGGCCATGTATTGTTTGAACAATAGTAAAAAAAAAAATTATCATTAACCCATACTGTTAAACTAATTAGCTTTGATAGAAATTTGTATCATTTGTAGTTGAGCCATATAACCCCAATTATGGCAATTCCCATCATCCATAGTTAAAGCTTTCAGCAGCTGGAGTAATTGCATATTGTTCAAGTCAAGGTAAAAACAGACACTCTATATTCAGGAAGTTGACACAATACAGTCGCCCTCCTCCTCACCCTCCTCTGTTTGGGCCATATGCCTAAATAGGATTAGTTAATACTAAGATGTTTTGTGCATCTCGGTAATCTAATGAGGGCATTTCCCTTACCTCAGGTATCCTATTCTACTAACTGCACAATAAAGTTGGTTGCAGTTAAGCTGAACAGAAAATTAGCACAAAAGCATCTTTCTGACAAAATCCTACCAATCAGGAAAGGCTAATCGTTTGATGAGCTTGGAGCTGATGAAGTGACATAATAATGTGTGTTTTCAACAATGAATTTGCAGATAACAGCACAGAGATATTAAGAGTTGTTGGTACTGCACATTGATACAATAAAAGTACTATGTTTACTTAGTCTGGCCATAAATATTGAACACCCAGTGAAAATTTATACTCACTAAAGATGTGATTGGTCTTCAAGTTGAATTTGCTTAGCACTACTCTGTTAGAAGTTGGCTATGGTATTTACTAAACTTAGTCTGACATAAGACTACAAATATTAAACGCCCAATGAGGATTGAACTCACATGATTAATGGTATGAAAAATTGTTCCACTCTACTCTATGACTCATATGTATTTATCACTTGGGTAGTATTTCCCAAGAGAGAACCCTTCCAGTGCACTGTAAACTTCTACCTAGAGTGGCTCTTGGGCCTTGTATTATTTAAAAAAAAACAACCTACAGTTGGGTTAACATTTTCAAATACTCCTAATATGAGTGACTTAGGCAAACAAATTTTCAAACTGGGACACCTGAAGCATCTTGGGGCTTATGACCATATCATATTGAAACACTGGTTCTCATATGATCACCAAAGTTAAGCAATGTTGAGCCTGGTCAGTACCTACATTGGTAATGCTTGGGAATACTAGGTGATGGAAGTTTAGATGTGCAGGTGGTGCAGTGGATAATGGCTCAGAGTTGTTAATTGGAGAGCCAAGTTCCAATTCCTGTTGAGCTCATTATATTCACTTACACACAAATATACTTGGGAAAGGATTGATAAGCCATAGAAAATGAATCAAACAAACTGAAGTATGTTATTTGATTATAAGCATGTAATAGAAAACAAAGGTCATAAAGGTCTAATTTGTAAACTTGACACAATAAGAGTAATAATAATAATTTTGAGAACTGATGTAGAACATGAAAATCACAGTTGTGCCAGTTGTTATTAGAACACTGGGAATGGTTATAAACAGTTGATGGAAAAGACTGAAAGAATTAGAAATTAGGTCAGCTGTTGGAGCCATCCAAATAAAAGCATTAATGAAAATAGCTAGAATCCTGAGGTGAATCCCGGAGGGTTGAGATGACTTGTCACGTGATCTCCCAAGTAGGCAACCCAAGGAAATATGTAATAGTTCTCAGTGAAAAAAATTCTGCAGTTTGGTCATTTCATCAGATTTTTTGTGGTGGATTAGGCTGAGAACTTCTGTGCAGCTGATTGTGTATAATAGCTTTTTCTATTAGGAATACTTGCATTAATTCCTGACCACAGTCAATACCTCCACCAACCAATTTTCAATGCATATTCAACACAAAAACTATAAATAATTGATATTTCTGTAAATTTACATGTGGTTGTTTGTATTATATTAATAAGTACCTTCTTCTGTCTCTCAGTAATACTGTATATACTTGCGGATAAGTCACCCTACCAGATAGGTCACACCCCTACTTTATGGCTTAATAATTGATGGGTTACTATTGACTCACAGATAGGTCGCACTATATTTTGGGGAGTTACACCGTCCTTTTTAAACATAAGAATTATCAGATATCTACCTTTATTTCTACCTTTATTTCAAAACTTACAATTATTTATATACACTTTTGCAGTTAAAATACATTTATTATTTTGTCAGTCATCATGTCAAAGAAGTAATTGTTGTACCCAGTACTGTTATTTTTATATTTACCACATATTATTTTTATATCAAGTCAACTTGACAAAAAAAAAAAAAAAAAAATAACTACAGAAGAAAATGTTATGGTACCTTTAGAAAAAAAGAGTTTATTTATTTATGTATCAAGTTACAGTTTTAAAATTCATTCATTCATGAATCCCAAGAATTCTTCTTCATTGTCATTGCTGTCAAACATCATTCTCATTTGTTCATAATAGGTTTTTATCATTGTCCATTTCATAGTAGTTGTTCAGCTCATCATCACTTATCATACAATTCTTTTTCCATATTTTGATATAAAGATACTGAATACCTTGCTGCTCCCATTTGATTTTGGCATTTCTTTAAGCTGATCTTTCTGCTTTCTCCGTTCTCTGACAACCTTCTCTGAAACTCCAAACTGCCTTCCTGCTGATTGATTTCCATGTTCTTCTGCATAATTTAGTACTTTTAATTTAAAACCTGCTTCATAACTCTTTCTTTTACTCATGATTAGGGTTTTCAACAATTAAAATTATAAACTATAAATTTGGCTACCAACTAAATCCCTGCACAAGGCAATGCAATGCAAACGTTTTTGGTACTAGATTCATGTGCTTTGTTATTTGTAAATAACACTTAAGAACGTCTTTTTATGTTATGAAATAACCATTTCCTTTGTCAATAAACATCTACACATAGTTCCTTAACTTATGTATGCATGTTCAGGGTTTTTATATCAGTCTAGTGCAAAGGCCCTGACCAAACGGTGACTGATGGATCACTGAATATTTTATAATTTTATTTATTGTAATGGATGAGTGAATTTAGCAGCATGAGGTAAGTTTAAAGCAGTGAGTCAGTATATATGATAGATAAATTGTTTCTATATGGAGAAAAACCAGAGTTTTAGTGTTTATGAGTATCATTTCTGATTTCTCAGAAATCATGATGACAAGGTGGGTGTTGTTTTACATTTATGTCAAGCGGATAGGTCACACCCCTAATAATTTTGTGAAATTTTTGTTAAAAAAAGTGTGACTTATCCGCGAGTATATACAGTACTTACTTTTCTCCAAAAAGGTTGGTAAGCCATAAGAAACAAATTAATCAAACTTACTACCTTTCCTAGCCACAGATAAACTTGTTTGATTGAATTGTTTTTTATGGCTTATCAACCCATTGCAGGTTATTTAAAGCTAGAAAATACTTTTAGATTGTGAGATTTTTTTTAGGATAATAATGATCTAGTGATAATAGTTTTACTAATTAACTCATAGCTGGCGGGAGAGAAGATGGATTTATACCTTTCCTAAGAGTATTTGAAGCATAAAACTGAGTCACCATACAGTATTGATTCTTATGCCACCCACTCTCTCTCTTATATATATATATATATATATATATGCAGCACATCTTCTGAGTTTATCCTCAAAAATCCAAAACATGATTAACAGTCAGTATTGTAGGCAGAGGGCTATAAAAAGATATTAAAATACCAAAATGTCAACCCCATTTTGACAAATACAAAATTAAAATAATAATAATAATAATAATTATTATTATTATTATTATTTGGTTTAATCCCCAACATTGAATTTACAAGTAAAAACCAAAATTGACCTGATATTCGTCCCTATAATGAACAAACGATTTCCAACAAATAGTGTATTCTATAAAAATACAGTAAAAATTAGCCCAACATGGAGAAGATTAGTAAGGGCATAACCAGAAAGTGTTGAGGGGTAAATCTACAAGTAAAATACTAACCTATACAGAACTGAAGTCAAGGTAGAAGGCCCCTCGATGATTAATTATATTTGTTTAACTGAGGACACGTTTAAAAAAAAAATAGCATTGTTCAGATTGAGTAATAGCACTGCTTTATCTAGATATATCTGGAAAATAAAAGATGAACAGAAACCCAACTGAAGATAAGATGGACTTTTGCAGTCATTATCAAGACTCCACCTATTGGATTTGATATTGAAAGAATTGTTAACAAAAACTAAATATGAACTTGTGACAGATTATCCACAACTTTGTGAATAATACTCAACATCTTGTCTGAAAATTGGAAAAATATAATAAAAAATTAAACAGGCAGACCATTTTGGTTCTTTTTAATCCAACTTGTTTGGATCACATACACACACATATATATATTTTTTTATATATATGTATAATGAAATGGATTTAGTTCTATAATTTTTTTAATTAATTACATTTACCACCCTGAATGTTCAAAAAACTTGGTAAATGTAATTAATACTGTTTAATTAAAAATAGACCATTTACTTAAATAAACTGTATCTATAAAAATAACGTACAAACAGAAAATATAGGAAATAATTGTCGGGCTTAATCCATTTCATTATATGTTGTCATTGTTTATGTTAAGATACGTTTCACGAGCAGTTATGATTGATCGAGAAAAATTGTCGAAGATTGTATGTTTAAAAACAGTAATTTGGACTTTTCTAACCAGACGCTTCTCTATAGCTAAATGATATAGCACGTCAGATCAAATGATGGTTTCTATATAAGAATATAGGTTTGATTGGTGTCGGAGAATACATATTTTCTGTGAAATTTATCAAATGTTCAGGCTTTTAGTTAAAAGCAGAGCATTTACTTAAATAAATTGTATCTATAAAAATAACATATAAACATAAAATATGATATATATAGATATATATATTCATGAATTATTCATACAAAAAACAAATACAAAGGTTAATGATTTAATTGGCGAGAAATCCATCGTCGCGAACAATTCAAATAATATACAAAAACCCCGAACCTGTTTATGAATGAAAAGATCCTTGTTTCTATAAATTTCTGTTGCATGAGTTCTTATTATTTTACAAGCTTTCGTCTGTTCCTACAGACATCCTCAGGTATGAAATAGATTTTGTTCTTGTTTTTACTCTCAGTAGAGAACAACGAAAATATATGTATTGTTGTAATCCGAAAAATGCTATTAGAAATGAGTTATTGTTTTTGGAGCGTGTTGTCGCAATGCTGAGTTTGAATTTAAATTTTACAATTGTGCGTTCTTATACAAATATGGTGATAAGTGAATTCTTTTTTACTGGTAAATTTTCTGTCAAAGTGGCATGAACTTTATTGTTCAATAATTACAGTAATGTCGCACTTATTTATATATATATATATGTACATATAGATAGATAAATAGATAGATAGATAGATACTATTAGTGGTCCATATATATATAGATATATAAATTTCCAAGAGGATAGAATGTTCAGGACAGAGCAAGGATATAACATAAAAGGCTCAAACACTTATATTCCATGGTTATAATTTATTACAATGGTATCATAATGTAATTATAACCATGGAATATTAGTGTTTGAGCCTTTTATAATATACATATATATATATATATATATATATATATATATATATATATATATATATATATATATATGTATTTAGGCAACAAATTCTCTTTTAGGCATATTTGATTGAATAAATTACAGACATAATGTCTGTTAATTTTTAACAAAATCCATTCATACTCACAATCATACCTTCCATGTATTGATCTTAAAGGATGAGAGAATTGTGCTATAGCTGTTTAAATTTCTTTTATTTTAATTTCCCAAGTACTTGTGATCTTGTGTACTTGTACTGATGAACAACATATAGTTTTGTACTACTTGCACCCCTGAAGATGATCTTGGAAGTGTATAAAATTGGACATTGAAGTCAACACCCAGTGGCAACAATGTTTTGTGCTTATATATATATATATATATATATATATATATATATATATATCAGGCATGTGGCATCAGTAATTACTCAGGGTAGGAAAGATTGGAACCTTTATGTAGTAAATCAACAGAAAAATAAAATATTTTGCATTTTATGCATAATAACTAGAGTAACTTTCATAATTTTGTTGGAGTAGGTGCATATTATATATATACCACAAATGTAGCTGTTGATCTATTTTATTCA